TTTCCTGGTCAATCATCATAATACATTAACTCGTCGAAATTTGCCCTCTTCTTTGCTCGTCTTGATCTTCTCAATGTGGTATTTGTTTGTTCTTGGCCTTCCCCCTCACATTCCCTGCCTTCTTCGATGCATGGTGACTGATTCTACATGACCGATCAAGTGAGATTGATAATGTATAAATTCGTTTTCAGTCACTTCAATAATTTTATCAGTAACGAAGCTTTCTTTCAAAGAACTGCATATGTCCTTAATACTGATTTCCCTTTCTCCCTCTTCTGTGAAAAGTTAACGGATTGAACACATCGACATCAAATCACATTGCCCTTGATTTTTTTGTAGCGGTGGTTAGATCTTGCTGCAATCCATACAATTTAATTTTGCAAGATGAAGGCTCCGAGGCAAGATAGACAACGTCACCAGACGACTGGACAAGATCACTTGACCCCTCCTTTCGTCCCCTTTCCCTCTTGCGGTAACTACTGTTTCCCTGGACTTCCTCAATCTTACCATAATCATATGGCTGACTTGAAGGCTGCTCGCTTCATCGGCAGAGTCACCTGCTCATGTTCCTCACCGTTTTTTATGCGACACTTTGACCATGTTTTATTCGCCAGTCTCTCATTTGCCGCACTTGGGACTTGGTTAACTGTGCTGATGAGGGCGGGGACATCTTAGGTAGTTCTGAATACCTTAAATCAAATTTCACCCTTGGGTAATGAGACTTCGCATTTGCGTTGTAGCAGAATTTTGTTCTACCCATTTGCTTCAAGTGCTCCTTTAGGGCGCTGCTAAGTCGAAAGTCAAACTGGAGCTGCAATGGCATATCGTATCATCCAGCTCTCATCTCCGAGAAGAAGTTCTCGCAAATCAGCGTCAAAAGTCTCTTCATTTTGAACACCTTAAGAAGCTGTGGGGCTTGTTGACTTAGGAGATCCTTAATTTCCTTTAAGGCTTGCAAGATTCTCTTTTCATCTTCTAAGAAACTGTAGAAACAGTATCTTGGGGACCTTGTGTCTGGGCCGTTGTCCCAAGCAAATCTTTCACTTGATTTACGCACTGGCAGTCAATTGTGTTGATCGATCTGTCGAGTGTAAAGGACACAGGGCCAGTGGAGAAACGCCAGTTACCATCCTTAAGCAATCCGTGGAACAATCGACCATAAACACTGTTCTAAGCCGAAAAATGAAATCAAACAACATCTTTTCACTTTTGCCCCGATTCCCATTTCAAAGGACCAACGTATTGCTGGTTTTTCTTCGCCGTTTCTATAAATCGCAACAGTGACAGGCAGCACAACAAGGCCAACAATAGTACACAGACTCCCAGCTGAGAGCGTTGACTTTGTTTTAGACTGCAAAACAGTCCGTATTTCTGCGTATTCAAGTACGCTCGAGCAGTCAAACAAAGGTCTGGAAAGAGGCTGAAAAGAGAGAGCGAGACTGGGGAGAGACGTTTTTTTTTTCTCTCGCTTCACACGCCCTATGGACGTGTGAGGCTCGCTTGCTTCGTGCGCGTAAGACTCTTACGCCACACTTTACCGTTTTGTTTACTGATTTTGAGAAAAAAACCCCGACTGTTTTGCAGTCTAACTTTGTTCAAGTTCTTATGATCTCTTGTGTAAAGTAGACAAAACCAATGACATTGGTGCATAAATGACCATAAATAACACCTCAGATATAACACTCTTTATTTCTTATATCAAAATGTTTTCGTCGTCTAATTTGTACAGTTCTGTTACCCTGTTCCCAAAAAGTAGGCTCATGTTCTTGTTCCCTTCGATATTTTGCCAATGTTTCCTTGTTCCCCAGAACCCCTGGGAGACCCTCAAAAATAGGGGACTGTGAACAGTCTGTAAAAACACATAAATATATTTTAATATCATTTTAGGACTTTTATCGTCTACAAAGCCTTCCTTTTTGTTTTAGAATATTTTCAACTTATATTTTCTAAGCGTATTTTCCCCCCAAAAGTTAAAAAAATTATTTCAAATTTTTGACCATAAAAAGTAATGAGTAGAAGAATTTTTGAATCTTTTGACCCAAATCATGGACTAACCCCTTTGGAAAAATTTGAGTTTGCGACTATTTTTAAAGTAAATTCTTATAGTCTAGAAGGCCTTCTTTTCCCTTTACAATATAGAGAAAGTAATTTCAAGGTGTATTTTTGCCAAAAACAAGGTATATTAATTTTGGACCAAAATGTTGGACTAATTAACGCCTCTGAAAAATTAGGATATTGCGGCGGTCATAAAAATTTATTTTATCGTCTAGAAAAACGGTTTTTGTTTGTTTTGAATATTAACAAACGATATTCTTAGGTTTATTTTGCCCAAGAGGAAGATATGAAAAAACGTTGACCAAAACCATCGATTAACTTCCTTTGAAAAAAGTAGAACTTTTCGATTATTTTAAAAGGAAGTTACTATATAATCTAGAAAGCCGTGTTTCTCCTTTATAATATAGAGAAGGCGTATTTTGACAAATAACAAGCTATTAAAATATAATTTTTGGCCCAAATCATGGATATTTGAAAATTTTAAATTTTGCTACAATGAATGAACAAATTTCATTTTTATCGTCTAAAAAACGTCTTTTTTTGTTTAGAATTACCTGGCCTTTCTCGCCGAAATATGATCGAGCTATAAAAATATTTTCAATTCCTCACCAAGATCATGTACTAACCCCTTCAGGAAAATTATAATAGGCTACGAATACGATAAATTTCTTAAGCCTTGCTTACCTAAATAAATGTCATACTGTCTTCATGATGAGCTGTCATCATGATCACGCCAGTAGGCGCATAAGGCCGTTATGTTCACAGACCAACACTCTCTGTCTCATGCCACCGCTTTGGCTATACTTCTCAGCTCTTCCATTCTGAAGTTTGGGTCCGTTTAGTAAGACGTCATCTGCTCTAAAAACGGCTGCCACTTTGCGCATTTAAAGCAATAGTTATTTTCCACTTACGTCGGAGTTGGAAGCTCAGAAAGCAATATTTAGCTTTTTATAATACACAGCTTGTATCCTTTGGAAAATATCCATTTTTGACTCTGTTTTTTCGTATTTATCGTGCCTTTGGTTAAAAACGATATAATGCTGTGTGTTTATCGTCGGTTCATTGCTGCATCGCTCAAAAGTCAGATAACCTAGCTGATCAGATAGATTAAGGATATAAATGTACAACCATCTGGCACGCTTTGTTTGTGCGAGGTGAATTGTTTTCTGTCAAAATTATTGTCAGATCACGCAGCAGCTGCCAGGTAATTTGATAGGGTGCGGGAAACGACTTTCATGGCCTTTTTTCGGCATCTCGGGCAGGCGCTCCCTCCCCTCGCATGTCTCTCTCGCGCGCCCCGTTCTTTCACGTGCCTATTACTTTTAACTGCCTGCCACGCAGGCGCAGGTTAGTCAGAAGTCGATAAAACTGTGTATTTCATTTGAAATAATAAAGATGAAGGAAGGTTTCCTTGAACCTTTAACTGAATTTCCATTGCGTGTCAGTGTAACCACTGTTCGCCTTGACTAGCCACTGCTAACTGCTGGCAGTGGATGTTCGTTTGTAAAACTGAAATAATTAATAAATAGTTAACAATAAACAGTGATTTTGCTTCAGCTTTAGTGACTTTCGTTCTTAAAAATATAGGTTTGGATTAACTAAAAAAGACCATGGATGATATAGAAAATATTAAATGGCCGCGCAGTGATACGAAATTTCTCTTCTAGTGTTGAAAGATTGAACGAATGAAATAGTTTTGAACAAGAGAAGAGAAATTTTGTCTCCTCAGAACGGCCATGTGATGTTCTATTAATTGTATAAACACCTGCAATGAAATACCAAACTATTTCACTAAATAATATTTTTTTGCTGCAAAAGGAACGATTTTTTCTGTAGCCATAGCAACAGTGATCTTTCACAATTGAAGATAACATGTTATTTTCACATGTGAAGATATCATGTTATTGCTCGAAAACTCTCCTGGTTTTTCATTAGTATTCATATAATAAAGGATATTATTATGTACTCAGTGCGCATGTCTGAGTACACGCCAGACTTGGTAGACGATGACAGCGGATTATTTCCAGATGAAACCACGACACACGACTTTCAGTCTTCCATGTTCACACTTTATTCCCTGCCCACAATGCACTGCTATCCAATTTCACAGGCTACCGAGTAATAGAGCGTTTTCACTCACTTGACCAGTATCTATGCAAATTTATGAGAGCAAAAGAAAGTGTTTACATAAGAAAAGAGTCCAACTCCTACGGCAGGATTTGTTTGGAACACCAACATGGCCGCCGATTAATTGTTTTTGGGACACCGACATGGCTGCCGTGACGTCATGTGAAAACGCTCGAGTCACCCTTCAACAACTAAAAGGAAAGGAGTAAAAAATCTAAAAAATCTATTTTACCAAAAGTTATATCTTTTCTTTGAGGTATACATGAGAAGGGGGTTATGTTGCTGTTGCTGAGACAAGTTCTAAAGTTGACTAACCCTTTAAGCCTCAAGAGTGATCAGTATCAAAATTCTCCTTGTGATATCAATGCTTTTTAGAACAAATTGGTGATGAGAATTAAGGAGATGATCACACAAGATACAATGAGTTGACACTTCAACAACTTCTCGTGACTACTTTTATAGAAAACGTATAGGAACAACAAATGGAATTTGAATTTTAATATTAGGGCTTAAAAGACTAAGTGAAAAAAAGCTGCCCTGAAAGGCGTTAATACGATTCTGCATTTTTCCCTAAAAGAAAAAAGTGCAGATACAGTTTAACAGTAAATACTGTTACCAAAGTAAAGCTTCGTATGGAAACTTGAACTTGGGTTGTTAATTTGGCTCGACACGTCGACTACTTTTAGTTGTTATACTAGATTCTGAAAACTGCTAAATATCTACGTCACGGTCTGGATATTTGACCTTATTTAAATTTGTACAGTTTGTTTTGGAGTCTCGAGAGAGTCAGGTTGACAACTGTTTTTGAACATTCATACTTATATGTGTAGTATTGCGACGTTCTCTTCACTTTCAACAACTTGTAAACTTACTTCATCTGTCTCAGCACCAGAATTTTCCTGTCCTTCCTTAGCTCGTAAAACACTGTTCAAGTACGATTCAACAATTTTAGGAGCTTTCTCTTCGATGATCAAGGCCTCCACTCGTTTTTGTCTTTCTCCGTCGAAGTACCTGGAAACGATCTTTGGAAATAAACCGGTGAAACCTGCTACCATAGTTTTCGCAAGATGCTTAACACCGAAATCGCGTTGCATTGTCAGGTAAAATACAAGGAACAGAAAGCTTGCAATAAAGACGACCTTGAAAACCAATAAACAGGGCGATTCTCTGACAGGCTTAAGCTCTTCACATGCCAAATCAAAAAGCTCCTTCGGGATTTTCACCACTCCACCGTTATGCTTGTCATCTGAACGGTTGTTTGTGGTGTTCAAGTCCACTTTCTCATGGGAGGTTTGATCAGTTTGTTTCTCGTAGCAGTTAAAGACTGTTAGGGAGAGATCATGGTACCTGTCAGTGAATGCTCTGTAGTTGCTAAGTAAGTAATAACAAAAAAGAAGAAAACAGGCTGCTAATGGAAGGCTTTTTTCAGGAAACATAAGTAACATGCTAAAGGCCAGTAGAAGAGTTAACAGAACACCCAAAAAAGCAGACAGCAATAGGTAAGATCCACCAACAAGTGCTAAGCTATTGGCACAAAAGTCAGAGAATCGAAGAGATGCCTTCAATAATGCTGGTAAACGAGCAAATCGAGAAGACCTGTACAGCTTTGACAAAAGTGGCCAATCGTGTTGTAAAGCGACAAATTGAGGTGATGTCCAACAGAAACCACAAAAGAGCGTCATCAGAGTTGCTAGAAGTAATAAAATAGTAATAAGAGGAAGAGTGGGTAAAATAAGTAAAAGCAAAAGCACACGGATAACCAATCGCGTATAGCCTTTCCATAAAGAGAAAACTATTTCAAAATAAAATTGAAAGCCCCTAAAGAAAAAACTACAACATTTAGTTACTATCAGCGGTTGAATTCTCAGATGGTGTAAGAGTCGCTGAGGGACATCAACATACAAACAACCACCAGGGTTGGATGTGAATAAACAACAGGCCTCACAATTATGATCATTCTCTTCTGTTGACGCACCAACGTGGTAAAACAACAAAGTATAAGCACCCTTAACAATGTAAAGGTATACACAAACCCTTAGAAATGGATGGGATAACTTCCAAACGTCAGAAATACCCGAAATTAAATTGAAAGCAAGAATTCCAGGTGTGACAAGAAGGATTAAAAGTGCCATGAACAGGAGACGGGCGATAAACATTTTTCCCGTTTGATACCAAGAAGATGCGAAGACTGAGCAATCGTTGAAGAATACATTGTTCGCGAACAGAACTCGATTGCTAACAGGACTTGCTCTTTCTAGGACAATATATCGAATGCCACTTTCCATGACCAGTGTAGGAGAGAAAAAGCAAAGTAATGCTGGGAGATAAAGTGAGCAATATTTGATCAGAAACAGCAAGAAAGTGAAAAACACGTTTGTTGTTTGCCACTAACTTTTGGAAATGAGTTTATAACCCTTTTCTTCGAGGGCTTTTTCTGCTACAGCTTGGAGGCCTGTCGCGCTTGGCAGGGCTGTTGTCGTGGCGGGCTGTAAGGTACAATTTCCTTCGATTCTCCCTCGCTCGAAACAACTATTAAAAGTCATATTCCACATGCTTTGAATTCCGTGAGAAAAGCTAGAAAGCGTATTGTTAGCCGGTATCCATACACTATATTGGCCAAATAGTTTATAAGACCTTAATTGGTAGGAGCACTCTGTGTCAATACCCAGCGTAAACTTGACTTTAAAGTTGACAAGTCTCTTTTTGGTAAAAATTGAATCGCCGCATTCGTTGGTAAATTCAGAGTGGGTAATTCTACAATCCCAACCACATCTAGTATCAGTGCGGAATCCGTCGACAGAGTATTCTCCTTCGGTGCTATGAGATAAGCTTTCACCAACGAGCGAGGCTAGGAACACCATAAAACAGAACTGGTATGATGATATTAACATTCTCAACACATATGGAAAGAAGGCAAATGCGAGATAAACGTTGGTCTTGGCAGTTGGATAGGTATATACGCCTTTATAAACAAGTGCCTTGCTTCACTGCTTTTTCATTGACTTAAACGCCAATGAGTCCGTCAAAGGAATATCGTTGCATGTGCATTGCCGTTTAACAACGAACCGGAACGTTACTGACCGCGTAAATCTAAAAATACCGACTTATATTTGGTGGAGGAATTTTCAAAGACATGATGGATGTAGCGTACAGCCCACTCAGGGAAGACTACTGTGGCAAGCATCATGGGAAACCAGCAGAACAGAATTGTGAAGAGGACGGTTAATTCTACAGGCCTCCTAAAAGGTGGGAGAGCCACAGAGAGTACTAAGCACAACTGGGGTTCGGCTGAATAAGCAATCCAGGAGTAAGAAGCGAAAACGCCAAGCAAGCACAATTTATACCTCGATGGGTGTTGATATTAGAGACCTTCATTAAGACCGAAGTTTGGTCATTTTACTGCAAACGACAAACTGCGGTTTGAGGTTAACGGTTTAACGTAAGGTTACGCGTCTGCCCATATTTGGGACTTAAGATTCGCGGGTGGTAACTTACTTCTATTTTAGCTGAGAAATTGTCTTCAGAATTGCGTTTTTTTGAAATAGAATTCGATAGTTAATCAGCAAAAGATTTCCAAAAAGTCGTATTTCTCCTTCATGTTTGGTGCAAAAAACATTGCGGTAAATCACTTACCTCTGGAGCGTGGTCTAGCCGTACAAACGTGAACATCAAACCCCAAACCTGACGGCAGAGGCCCTGGTCACGTGACCTCTTGACGTTCGCGGTTCGAGAGAAATGCCGAAAAACCTCAATCTTAAAAGTATTGTGTTTACAGCCAATGAACCAGACAGTCATCACGTATAGCTTTTGAAAGGAGAAAATAAAGGCAAGATCGAGATAGTGGCTTTCTATATTCCTTGGCAGTTTAGCATTTGAGAGATTGTTTAAATTAAAAGATTTTTATGACATATTAAGAAGCATTCACGTTCCGATAACATTGTCCTTTAAGAAATCATTTAGTTTTTTCGCGGGAATCCACCAGCTTTCCAAACATTTTTTTACATGAAAAATGAAGGCTACCAAAAACCCTGAACCCCCAAAAGATGATTTTGAGATCATGCCCAATAACACTCCTAGCCTTAGAACACAATGGAACAGAAACGAATAACACTTAAAGTTATCGAAAACAAGATCATTTATTCCTGTCAGAAATCAATGAAAAACGTCTTCAAGCGTGGCATTGTATACGGACCAAGAGCATTACTCACTGGTAAAGATTCGATGTATTAGTAGCCTGCAGTGTAAGCGTAGCAGTTGGAGACAAGCTACATTGCAAAATAGTACTCAGTGCCGTGAATCAAAGGATTGGCAACTTTTCCAGTTTTCTCAAAAGCTCCACTAAAACTTCTGGATTAAATCATTTGCTTTATGAAAATTAACCTTTATGAAAGCCAACCGTATGCAAAATTCAGTGTTGTTATCGATAATTAGCACTAAATAACATAATTATTAAACCTGCGCTTTCTCTGGGTAAATGATTAGTGCCTTTACTCGTTTTCTGCATTATACTAAAAACAGTTTTTAATAACAGATGTTTCGAAACTGAATAATATCTTTACAGTTGTACCTTTCAAGTATTGCAAACATTTCGATACTCATGATGTGCTTCACTTGATAGTGACGTTGAATTTTTTTCATACGTATTTCTGTGACGCAGAAATAACAGTTGGAAGGGCTTGTGACTAGCCATGGGCGTAAACTAAAAGGCCTTTTGAATAGGACTGACTGGGGAAAAGGAGACGTATTTGTGCTAAATTTTGCGTTTCAAACAAGGACTTGGACCAATTTCACCGGAAAGTTTCTTAGCATAAAAGATGTCTCGATTCACTTTTTTCTTTTTTTAAAATCATAACTCAGGCAAACTGGTTAAAACTCCCATAAAATGTTGTTTCTTTATTCTTCAGCTTCGAAGGGCAGGCGCTACTGGTAAATAATGATAAATAATAATCATTAAAATCCTTAAAAGGGCCCATGAACGCCGCCATTTTGGTTCTTTGTTCCTTTGGCTAATCTTTCCCTTACTCGAAACCAAGAATAAATCGTCTGTCGATTTTATACCTTAAGGTCAGTCTAGACGAATAATCCATCCCTAAGTTTTATATAATATTGTAGTTTTTCTAGTTTTACTAGTGTCACTGTATAAAGATTTTTACCTCCACATACCTGATGGCTTCCTGAATACGTTGTCCTTGTTTGTCTCAATAGTTTTGTTTGCAAGTGTTCCCTCAGTTTGTGCATGGTGTTTACTAGGGGCTTTTGGAAAGTGGGTTTCGATTTAACGAAGAATATATCTACAAGTATCCCATATATACCACCTGCATTCAAGGTCTTGGCCTTTATGTAGATGTTGTTCTTCAGTCATTTGTACTTCCCTTATGTTTACCTCTAGGCTGCAGAGCAGTTCGTATAATGGTTACCTCTATTAAACAACAATGATCAGGGGGATTAGGTACCGAACGCCTAGTAAAAAAATGAGAACATATTTTTGAGAGGAAGGATAGTACAGTCAGATTTACCGACTAAACACAGTTTTTTCATAATAATACTAGGTAACTAAACGAGGGAATATATGTAAGTGGTCAAATCTCATCTTACCGAAAATTATCTTTGAATTCCTTTGACGTTCTCTACGCAGCTATCGCTAAAACAAAACATGTGAGTCTAGCCTTATTAAAGATACAAAGAGCTGTTTTAAATACAGTGATGTAATTCTGCATACTTTTTACGAAACTACAAAGCAAATATCATTCGATAGTAAACTCCTTCCTGTAACGAAAGTTCAGGTCTGTTTAATTTACAACGTTATATTATACTCGCTACTAACATAAGTATATCAGATACTGAAAACTGCTGAATTATCTGAGTCAAGGTCTAGAAACCTAACTTTAATTAAATTTGTGTCATTTGTTGTAGACATCGAGTGGAATGGCAAGAGTGTCAGGTTAACAACTGATGAACATCCTTGTCAGTTTATCTTTAGTCAATACATGTGTATTATTGCGATGTTCTCTTCAACTTAAACAACTTGTAAACTTACTTCATCTGTATCAGCACCAGAATTTTCCTGCCCTTGATTAGCTCGTAAAACACTGTTCAAGAACGCTTCAACAATTTTAGGAGCTTTCTCTTCGATGATCAAGGCCTCCACTCGTTTTTGTCTTTCTCCTTCGAAGTACTTAGAAAAGATCTTGGGAAACAAACCGATCAAAACTGCTACCATAGTTTTCGTAAGAGGCTTAACACCGAATTGGAGTTGCATTGTGAAGTAAAAGACAAGGAACAGAAAGCTTGAAATGAAGACGACCTTGGAACAAAATAAGCAGAGTGCCTCTCTAATGGGCATTAGCATTTCACATGCCATATCAAAAAGCTCCTTCGGGATTTTCACCATCCCACCGTTGTGCTTGTGATCGGAAGGGTTGTTTGTGGTGTTTATGTCCACTTCCTCATGAGAGATTTGATCGGTTTGTTTTTTATAACAGTTAAAGATTGTTAGGGAGAGATCATGGTACCTGTCAGTGAATTTGCTGTAGTTGCTGAACAAGTAGGTAACATAAAAGTAAAAAACAGGCCGCAAATGGGAGGCTTTTTTCAGGAAAGAAAAGCACCATTGTATACGCTAATAAAAGGGTTAACATAACTCCCAAAGAAGCAAATAGCAATAGGTAATATCCGCCAAAAAATTCTAACAACCCGACACAGAAGTCGGTGAATTCAACGCATATCTTCAAAGCTGGTAAACGAACAAACGGAGAAGACCTCAACAACTTCGACAAAAAGGTCATCCAGTTGGATTCCAAAGCGACAACATGGGGCGTTCCAGCGTAAAAACTAAACAAAGATGTCACTAGCGACACTAAAAGTGATAAAATAAAAGCAAATGGAAAAGTGAGCAAAAAAAGTAAAACCAAAGAAACACGAATAACCCATCGTGTATAACCTTTCCATAAAAGGAAAATAATTTGAAAATAAATTTGAAGGCCTCCAACAAACAAACTCCAAAATTTAGAAAAAATTAGCGGTTGAATTTTAACATGGTTTAGGATTCGCTGAGGAAGGTCAACACACAAACAAGCACCGGGATTAGATTTCAATTCATGACAGGCAATACAGTCCCTCACTTCTGTCGACACAACTGCACGGTAAAACAATAAAGAACAAACCGCCTTAATAAAGTAGAGTGTCACACAAACTCTCATAAACGGATGGGTCAAGTAGAGAATGTAAGAAAAACCAGGAGTTATGTTAAAAACAATACTTCCAGGCGCGATAAGAAGGATTAAAAATGCGATGAACAGCAGTCGGACGACAAAAATTTTTCCCGTTTGATACCAAGTAGATGCGACGGTTGAGCAATCCTTGAAGAATACATTGTTCCCCACCAGAGCTCGAATACTCACTAGACTTGCTCCTTCTAGGACAATATATAGAATGCCACTTTCCATGACCAGTGTAGGAGAGAAAAGACAAAGTAAAGCTGGGATATAATACGTGCAAACAATACTGAGCCAAATCAACAAGACCCTGACTACGTGTGGCCATGGATTTTTGGTAATGAGTTCATAACCCTTCTCTTCGATGGTGTTTGCTGCTTCAGTTCGGAGGTCTGTTGGGCTTGCCAGAGTCGTTGGTCTTCCGGGCTCTAAGTTGCAAAATCCTCGGATTTCTCCTTCCTCAAGGCAACGAAAAAACAAATCCCACATGCCTTTAATTCCGCGAGAAAAGCTAGAAAGCGTATTATTTGCCGGTATCCATACATAAAAGTCATCAGTGAAAGTTCCAAACGTTTTGTAAGATGTTTGGTTGAGGCACTTCGTGTTGACAAACAGGTCGTAGATAACATTAAATTTGATCAGTCTTTTTCTGGTAAAAACAGGATCACATTCTTTGCCGAAGTTAGACTCGGTAATTATACAATCCCAACCACATCTGGTATCACTGCTGAATCCGTCAAGAGAGTGTTCTTCATCTGTGCTATGAGATAAACTTTCACCAAGTTGGGCAGCTACGAACACCACAAGACAGAGCTGGTAAGATGATAACATTCTCGACAGAACTGGAAAGAAGGCAACTTCGATATAAACATCGGTCTTGGACTTGCATATGAATATACGCCTTTGTGGGCAAATATCTGCTTGGCTTGAGTGCTTTTTCCTTGTCTCAAAAACCGACGATTTTGTCAAAAGGAAATGTATTTGCATGTATATTACCTTTGAACAGAGGACTGAAGTTACTGAGCCAGAATGCCGAAAGTGGCTCAGATTAATCCGAGGTATTTTTGGAGAATGAATTGCCTTTAGTCCTGTCATATCGATCAAAAAAATTATCCTAGACAGATCTTAAGCCCACAGCCCACTCAGGCAAAAAGTGGTGAACATCACGGTAAAAACAACAAACATAATTGTGAAGATCACAGTATTCTGTTAGCCCCTTGAAAGGTGAGAGAGCAATAGAAATTACTAAGGACAACTGGGATATGCCGGTCTGGTCTACTGGGCAAGCTTCCTGAAGTAAAATGCGAACATGCCAAGCAAGCACAATTTATGCTTCGATGAGTACTTTTACAATTTTTCTCAGAGGAAACCACTCATCAACGCATAAACTGTGCTATGGGGGCGTGATATTGGAAGCAAAAAGGATATAAAGTATATGACTTTTTACAGAAAATGTAACGCCTTAATCGAGATCGTGGCTTTTCTGTTAAGGCCTCTTTTGGCAGTTACGATATTCTTGTCTTTTGATGAAAGAATTTTGTTATTAAATAAGGAGCATTCACGTTCCAAGAACTGGCTCTTAAAAGAGATCACTTAGTTTTGTGTGTGCGAGTTCATCACCTTTGCAAACATTTTCTCACATGAAAAATAACTGATGCTGGAGGCTTCTAAAAATCTTTGAAACGGCAAAAAAATGATGTTTTTGGAGAAACAAAAACCGACAACACTTTAAGTTATCGAAAACAAGATAATTTATTCTTGTCAGAAATCAATCCAAAACGTCTTCAAGCATGGCAGGTTTTCTAGCGACCGACATCATTACTCACTGGTAAATGGTGGATATATTTAGTAGTATAAGAGTAGTTTTGGGGGAAGCGAGTAGCTCAGTGCCGTAATTTGAAGGATCAGCAACTTTTCTAGTTTTCAAAAAGGCTCCAACCAAAACTCAGAATGACTCATTTGCCTTTCAATGAAAACTAATCTTTGTCAAAGGCATTCTTATGCGGACTAATTAGCATTGAACAACTTAGATGATTATTATAGCTGTGCTTCAGTCTTTGGGTATACTCTCTTTCTGTAGTAAAAACACTGCTTTTTATTATAAGTGTTTCGCAACTGTATCATATCTTTACAGATCTACCTTTGCAACACTTATAAAACATTGTGATACTTGATATGATTTTTGAACATTTCATAAGTATTTTCATGACGCTGAAATGACAGTAGGAAGAGTTTGCGGCCTTTTGTAGCTATGGACGTACTAAAGGCCATCATTGTCCAAATTCATGAATACTGTTGAATGCAATACGTTGAATCTGGTTCAACGTCTCCTTAACTGACGGTACTGGATGTCGTTTTCGATGGCATTTGAAGAGGGTTGAATGATTTCGATAGAAACGCACTGAGAATGAAATGAAGCACAGTCCGCCATGTTCACACTTTATTACACTGATTTATTCTCTAACCAACCTGTAACCCTACCCGGTTCATGTTGGTCCAAATTCATCCAACACTGTTGGTTCAACGTCTCGTTAAACGGTGTTGGATGTCGTCTTCAGTAGATGGCATTTGAGTAGGGTTGAATTATTTCGATGTAAAAGCATCCAGTATGAAATTAAAAAAAACAACTTACCACCTTCAGTCCACAATGTTCACACTTCATTTTACACTGATTTATTCTCTAACAAAACTGTAACCTTACCGGGTCGCACAGACTATTTCTTATTGCCATTTCAATAGTTAAATGAAATCATTAAAATCCTTAAAAGGGCCCTAATGAACGGCGCCAATTTGGTTCCTTTTTCTAAAACCTTTCCCTTACTTGAAACAAAGATAGTTTGTCTGTCGATTTTACACCCAAACGTCAGTCTAGACGGATAATCCATCCCTAGTTTTATAATATATTGTAGTTTCTCTAGTTTTCTAGTATCACTGTATAAAGATTTTTACCTTCAAAAACCTAATGGCTTCCTGAATATGTTGTCCATGTTTGACTCAATAGTATTGTTTGCAACTGTTACTTTCAGTTTGTGCATGGTGTTTACTAGAAAATGGGTCTCGACTTAACGATGAATATATCTACAGGTATCCCTTATATACCACCAGAATTCAAAGTCTTGGCCTTTATGTAGATGTTGTTCTTCGTCATCTGTACTTCCCTTTTATTTAACTCTTCAAGGCTGCATAACAGTTCGTCTAATGTTTCCCCCTCAGTGTAACAAAGATCAGGGGGAAGATACGGCACGCCAAGTAAAAAAACTGATAACATTTTTTTGGGGGGTAAGGATAGTGCACCCAGATTTTCCACCTAAAGTCAGTTTTTACATAATAA